CATTTCAAGTGGCCCTTCGAGGGCCACCATAACTCTCATGTGGCCCTCAGTTAAAATGAGTTTGACACCCGTGTCTTAAAGTATTAGATTTTTTTGTACTTCAGCATCAAAAGTAAATTTCTGACATAAAACGTACTTAAGTATTAAAAGTAAATGTATTGAGTGGTTAAATTTTCCAAAATACATTTACTGGGAGGTGACCTCCCCAAAACACGTTTTTTTCTAAAGACACGTAGCTGTGATGGATTGTGTACAAACTAATACAGTATCAGAATGGTATATATTTATACTTCCCATCCAACCACAATTAAATTCACTCTATCTAGGAGGCACAGTTTAACAAAATAGTATATTTTTTAAAGAATAACAAAAGAATGAGAACAAGACTAAATGAAATAGGATAAATCACTTTTTACTACTTGTCTTTTTAAATAAATGTAAGGAGTAGAAAGTACAAATAATTGTGTAAAAATGTAAGAAGTAGAAGTAAAAAGTAGGCTGAAAAATAATTACTCAAGTAAAATACAGATACCCAAAATTTCTACTTAAGTACAGTAACAAAGTATTTGTACTTAGTTACGTTACAACTCTGTCTGGAATAAAAAGTTACATGTTGGAAAACTAAAATATGGAATCAAGATAATAATCCTTTATAATTTCTAATTTAAATACTTTAATTACTGATGGTCATGACATCAGTCAGGTCCAGTCATCAGTCCAATAAAAGAGCAACAATCATCCTGTGTCATGTTCAGTGACAAAATAAAATTAATATCTTCATTGATTTATTTTCATCTCCCTGCTCTGGCCTGTCAGGGTGTTTCTGATCGTATAATATTAATATATAACATGTTTTCTTCAGCAGATTGTTGTGTGTATAACGTTTGTCTGGACCCATTTGAGGCGGTGGTTGTCTGGTTCCCTTCCATTACCGGTTTTTGAACTTGCATCATTTTTCTAACATGCAGTCGGATTTCAGAATGCATCATTTTTTATTTGCATTTTTAATTTTTTCTTGCATTTGTTTTTTGTGTTCAACATTTTGTAACTTGCAGTCAATTTGAAAAAATGCAGCATTTTACTGTTTGCTGTGCTTTTGCACCTGTCGCATGTGGCAGCAGCTGTTATCAGAGCTCAGAGACAAACTACAGGAATTTATGTGATAAATGGATGAACACCTCACTGCTGAGCACTGATGCCGATGCCTTCGTGTTGAATTCTCTATCAGAGCCACAAAATAAAATAAAAAATAAAAAAACAGAGCTATATTCTTACATTATTAATGTGAGCTGCCGCTGGATCTAAACATAGCAGAGAGTTGTGATTATACAACAGAAATAGTTGTACATTCTGAGCAGGAGTTTTACACCAGTAACTCAGAGACTTTCACCCATTATAGACAGGTCCTGAGTAAAGCCTGACTGGAAGAGGACTTTCTGTGCTGACTGAACAAATACGTGCTGCTTTGAACAAAGGTCAAGTAACTGGTGCTGTATATATTGATTTTCGTAAAG